GAGAGCGGGAGGTGCTCTCCTCACTAGGTAAGGCACACAACTTTATATATTTACGCGGGTTTTAGCTAATTAATTTCAAAATATTTAGTTTTTAATAATAATTATGACGCTCGTGCCCTCATAACCCTAATCTATTCCTGTAAGTTTAAGCCCGTTAATCGTACCCTGAGATCCTTGATTCACAAGCATGTAATATACAGCTAATTCGTTATGAATTCAGATACAAATCAAAGTTAGAAAATAGCGACGCATTAGAAATTGAAAGCGCTCAATTGTGATGCAAATTATTACAAACTTACAGCGCCTGGCATCCGTAGGTACATGCAGGATTGGATATAATATATATATATTGTCCACTTACCAAATACTATTTCAGATCCAAGAGTAACGTTCACAAAAGAAATTAATCATATTTAAATAGAAACCATTTTAACAGTCCACAACTCTATCTGATCATCATATACATATATACATAAATTTGAAAGAAGGTATATCTCTAAAGGAGTTTTTATTAACTTGCTTTCTTGTCTGTCTATTTGTTAGTTGGGTACATTTTTGATATCGATTTAAAATTAACTCTCTAATGAGATAGAGCCTTGAGATTTTAAACATAGCATCGAACTGGATGACAGACGAAAAAGCAGGAAATAATCATTTAAATAAATATTTCAAATTCCAACACGTTTATAAAACAAACTTTATTTATAGAATAAGGGTGACATACGAGCACGCAGTCCACCTGATTATAAGTGGTTGCTGTAGTCCATAGACAACTACATCTATCCTCGATTAAGAATCAAAATTCAGATGCGTTGTCACCCCTGAGGACTAAGATGGAATGCCTCGTTTGTAGTGAAAATGAGATCCTTTTTCTACACTCACCATACGCATTAAGCTGTTATTTTACGCTGGTATTCTGTAAGAGTGTTGTTCTTCCCCAGTCGAGACGACCCATTCTCCACTACTAAAATTATAAAATAATTTTTCTTAACTGCATACAGTAATAAACACATACAGATAAACCGTAAAACATGTGACGCATGCAATAGTTAATCGTAATCTCATTATTAATTAGCAATCAATTGTGTACGAACATTATTAGCAATATAATAAGGATATTCGTTATTATATTGCCTAAGCCTTTCTAAACTACTTCTAATAATATAATAATCATATCAAAATCAAATAGATCTAAAAATAATATTAAACAAAATAAATAAAGTAAGTCGTGTAGAGTGTAGCTGTCGTTAAGAAAACAACACACAACAATCGTAATACGCTTTTACAACAAAATCCCACAAAATATACAAAATTTGACTCCATCAAAGTTCAAAAACATTACTAACCAAAGTTGAACAGATACAAGTTAGAAGTACCAGTTACTCGACTCCACCGAGTCAGTAATTCATTCTTCGAGCGATGTATACGTTTTACAACAAAATCCCAGAAAATATACGGCTCCGTGGCGCAGTGGCTTAGCAATGAGTTGCAGCGCTAAGTTCGAATCCAGCACGGAACAAGTATTTGTATGGCCTACACAAATAATTGTTCTGGTTCTGGATGTTTATCCTTGTGAAATCTATGTATGTAAACTGCCTCCGTGATACAGGAGAATCCTACTGTGGAGGTAACGTTTTTTAAAAAAACAAAAAAAATATACAAAATTTGTAAAAGCTCTTACAAAAATTTACTTCGCAAATATCCGCGATATAAAATAAAATGATGTGTCTTACCTAGTATGAAGAGCACCTCCCACCCTCCCTCAATTGCGTGCACTATCCCCGTCACCACTAATCAAAGCACCGCTACTCCCAACACCACTACACTAGGCAAGACACACCACTGACGATAATACGACACGTGTTTCGCCTCTACACGAGGCATCCTCAGGTGATATAGACTCTACGGTGGCTAACCGCTAGCGCTTAGCGGTAGAGTAGAGTAGCGTAGAGTCTATATCACGCCTGTATACTGAATAGTAGTAGAAATGGATCATTTGGCGCGATTCTAACACACCTCTCTCATTTCTTGGTTAAGGGTAGTCTTAATTTGGCCCATCTTCATTATATAATATTCTTACGTGGTAAAGCCATGATGCCGCTAAATTATGATTATAGCACGAATGGGTCGGCTCGACCGGGGCAGGACCACGCTCTCACAGAATACTAGCGTAAAATAGCAGCTTAATGCTGCTGGTGTTTCGTATGGTGAGTGTAGAGAACCGGAGACCCTTTTTACTGGAAACAAGGCATTCTTAGTCCACAGAGGAGACAATGCAACTGCATTCTGATTCTTAATCGAGGATAGATGTCGTCTATGGGCAACAACAACCACCTACCATCTGTGGTGAGATGGACTGTGTGCTCGTATCTCACCCTTATTCTATTAAAAAAATAGATCGCCAATTTGGTCCCTAAGATTATAACTGGAGCGTTCTTACCGACTTTACAACTCATTTCTGCAGCATAAATTTGTTTTGTCACACTTTCCACATTCATTCTTTCTACGTGTCCAAACCACCGAAGCATTCCTTTGCTGATCCTGGTCACTACATCTTGCAAACAACACTTTTCCCTTAGCAGACTGTTAGCGCATCATCCAGTCAAACCTAACATACTTCTTCACGATACCATCCTCACCATTTGGATGCTTGGCGGTTCACCACTGTACGTTTTACAAGGAGTTTTCTTCCTTGTACAACTTTTCTGTGGAATTATTTACCACCGGTGATTTTTCCGGACCGATACTACTTAAGGACCTTCCAGAAAAGAGCTTACACCTTTTTAAAAGGTCGGCGACGCATCTGCAATTACCCTGGTGTTGCGGTTGTTCATGGGCGGCGGTAGTCACTTACCATCAGGTGAGCCGCATGCTCGTTTGCCCCCTCTCTTATAAAAAAAAAACTTATTTTATTTTGCAAGCAATGCTATTAAACATTACTAATGTTTTATTCCACCACTCCTGGTAAGCTTAAAATGCTTGTGTTAGGAGTAGTCCACGACAATAGTTGAATGGATTCGAACTCGGGACCTTTTAAGTTCGCGGTCCGCACCCTACCACTAGTAGTCGCTACTGTCGCTTTTACTTCTTAACGCCTGCAATTCTACAGTATTTATTCTACTCTCGTGCTTCTTCTGCCACACCCAACTTTCACTACCATATATTAACGTAGGACCTAACATAGCACTGTGAATTGCGATATGTGCTTTCTTTTTTAACACATTCAGACTTCCCACAATAGAGTGAAGAACCCCATTTGGTCTGTACCCTGCAATCACTCTTCGTTTTATATCCTATTAGGAAAATCAACACATTTTAAACCGACTTCAAAAAAAAGAGGAGGCACTCAATTCGACTGTATTTTTTGTTGTGTGTTACCTCAGAACTTTTTCTAGGTGAACCGATTTTGATGATTCTTATTTTGTTTTTGATCTTTTCTCATGTGGTCCCATATAAATATGATCAAGATCTGACCAGTAGTTTTTGATTTATCCATAATAATGCGTATTTAATTGACTTCGACTACATTCATGAAGTTCACATTTTATTGTATACTAGTTGTTCCCCGCGACTTCGCCCGCGTGTAATTTCGGATTTTAGTTTCGTTGCGCGGAACCCTAACTATTTAAAAAAATATAAGTAGCCTAAGTTACTCCTTGTAACATGAGCTATCTGTCAGTGAAAGTCCCGTCAAAATCGGTCCAGCCGTTTCGGTGATTGGCCGGAACAAACAGACAGACAGACAGACAAAAATTTTAAAAATTGTGTTTTTGTGATAAGTACCGTATATACTTTCATATGCAATTGGTAAAAAGCTGTTATTTAGACATTACAAACAGACACTTCAATTTTATTTATTTGTATAGATTGGAGTCGGTTGTACAAGATTTTTTAATTTTATCACTTGTTAGACGCCCATTACACGCCTAGGCAAGCGTCAATCAGTTTGATCAATCATGATTGATGTTTGAATGATAGAATAATTTCGACATTACACGCTCATGCTGACTAATGTCAGTCAAACCCAAGTTTTCAGAGGGAAAGGATGGATATTCATAAGAAAAAGGCCTGTGCTGCAATTTTAATTAAAATTTTGTGTAAAAAAACGTATAAGAAGAAGTCTCTGGGTAAAAGACTGGCTTATAGAAAGGGATTTCTATACCCATATAAACTTATTGACTAACATACGGGTTTCAAAAGAGGATAAAGATTATGCAAATTATTTTCGCATGAAAATGAAAGAGGCTTGTTTTGATTAGTTACTGGTCTTGGTAACACCATAACCACCACGTCTAAAAACTGGAACTGGCTTGAACACGCGCCAATGTTCGACCTCTCGGACCGCATAATCGATACGCGGCTTTATTTGCACGTAGCTTTGTGAATACAACTTTAGGCAATGCATTTAAGGTTGAATTTTCATTAATGTATATTTGTTTCAACTAGAATTACGTCGAAACAATTGGCGACAGGTTTTGGATAACTTTTGTATGGGATTTTGTATCTAGTTTTTTATTAGTGAACGATGGGTAACACACAAAAAAACATATAGTCGAATTCAATACCTCCTCCTTTTTGAAGTCGGTAGAAGATGCTGAATAAGACGAAGCAGAGACGTAAAGTTGGTAACTTAATGTAATATAAATAACACTTTACATACGATTACAGTGCCTATAGGTTATTTATATTATTATTTGTCTAGATTTTTATATAGACTGATAGGTATTTTTATAAATAAAACTAGCTATTCCCCAAGTTTTTTTGTTTTAAATTTTAAAAAAATGTATTAATGCATTAACTAAAAAGCTGTTATTTTGAAATTACAAACAGACACTTCAATTTTATTTATTTTTATGTATGTATAGATTTATAAAATAAAAATGTCTTGTCATGTCTACCATTATGATTATGAAAGATATACACTGAAAAATTATTACATAATTCGTTTGCCATTTCGAATGCCATGCGAGACTATTAGGTTCAAGTATCAGTGAGCTCACCTTAACAAGTTCCTTGAGCCTCTCCCGGTTGTACACGCTGCCGATTTCCTCGCCCAGGAAGTAGTCCAGGAGCTTGCTGACCGGGAAGGCCAGTGGAGCGGTTAAGGCCATTACCGCCTGTGGAAAAGCCAGAAACATATACAAGTCGCGGCACGTGAGTCTAGCGCTGAACGAAACGTGAAGGCGACGCGCTCGAATTGAATTGAGTGGAGAGCCAAAAATCGCGTGCGAACGATACGCACGAGCCAATCAGCGCGACTTATGCGGTCACCGCTAGACTTTCGTGCCGCTACTTATACATCGGGAAACAGATTTGAAAAACAGCTAAATATTTATCTCCTCCCTAATTCCTAGTACTCTATTTTACTCTTTTTTTCTGCTTAGAATTTTTTCTGGTATTCCGTGGGTGATTTCTCGATCTAGACAACATCGCCACCTACCGGATTCAATTGTGAATCTAAACCATCAAGGGACCAACTTAAACACAAAAAAATTCATCAAAATGAGTCCAGTGACAAATGCACGTACAAAAGAACCTTTATATATAATTTTTGGCTCGGTAGGTGGCGCTTTTGTCGAGATATAGAAATTTCCCATGCGAAACCGGGGTGGGCTCTAGTTATATATAGGATTATTTTGCAATAACCGGTGAAGAAAAATTAATTAAAAAAATCTGAAACATTCTGTCTTTTTCATTATTTTAACTGATTTTACTGCGCACGTACACATTCGTAAGGGTCGATCGGTAGGCAAAAACGTTGTTGCCCATAAATCACAATAAATTTAGGATAATTTCAAATAAAAGTAGAAGCCTTATTTATTCGTATTTTCAAAAACTGCAATAACGGTATATCATTATTTATATATTTGAATCATCATCCTTTACAGTTAGCTACCGTGGGAAAATCTTTGTTACAGAGAGCACGAGGGATCTGTGACAGCAAACACCTGGCCGCCGAGCTTCAGCACGTCAAGCAGGTTCTGCACGACAACAAGCTTCGGGTTCCGCGCCTACGTCACAGTGACCGAGTGAAGCCGGCCACAGTCGAGCGTGTGCCTGCTGTACTACCGTATGTCAGAGGTGTCACAGACAAGATTGGCTACATCTTGAAGCGAGCTTCTATTAGAACATTCTTCAAACCGCCGAAGAAGCTTACTCAGTTCTTACCATCCGTCAAATGCAATATTCCTCTACAAGATGCAGGAATGTACAAGCTTGATTGTGAATGTGGTCTCATATATAGGGCAAACAAAACGATCAATAAAAACCCGCGTAAAATAACACATAGCTGACGTGAAACACCAACGTTCCGGGAAGTCTGCTGTTTGTGATCATAATATCACAAACAGCAGACTTTATAAAGTAATCCTGTATATACATGAACACTATCACTGCTATAGTATATGGTGATAAGCAACTTATTTTTTGTTGACCATTAAATCCGGTTAGTTAGCACCCTCTTCATAATCACTGCTGCTAAGTAGAGTTGTATTCATCCATTCATCCATACAACATAGCCTATTAAAAGTCCACTGCTGAACATAGGTCTCAATGATTCATTGTCGGATAGATTTTGTCATAGTTACCACGATTGAAAGATGACAGGATGGCAACCACAGTTTTATTTTGAGTCGTTATCAGGAAGATGCTGCTGTCCATCATCTGTTTCAGTTTCCCTCTGTCGCCTCTTACGACACCCACGGGACGATGTGTGGTAGTGGATATTCTTACAGATATTTTTTTTACTTATTATAAGCCAGTGCTTGACCACAATCCCACCTGGTGGTAAGTGGTGATGCAGCCCTTGATGGTAAATCGCACTGTCTTAGCGTAACAAAAGTCTATTCACTCTAGACGCCGGTAAATTATTCCACTGCCTTGCTGTACGCATTACAAAAGACGAAGCAAACTTTTTTTTTGTTCTAATGCGTGGTGTAGTGTTTGCATATATATATATATGTCACTGTCTCGAACGCACCGCGTCAGTTACACGAGAGCCTCGGGTGAGAGTGGACGTGTTTCGTTAAGTGCGTGCCGAGCCTGTGTTACACTACAGTGATTAGAGAAGATAGCAGACAATACAAGTGGCGACGAGAAAAAAGGTAAATACCTGTTTAGTATAAAGATATCAACAAAAATAGGTTAGCAATGTGCAACTATTCGCATTGCAATTGCAAATTGTAAACTAAATCCTAGAGTACCCACGGAAAAAAACTTTGGATTATGAATTATGATTTATTGTTTTTAACCCTGTTATGATCATTTTAATAATTTATATAAATTATATGTTCGCATATGAGACCACGCTTATGGTGTGCAAAATTTATTTTCTTTATGTAGCAATGATAAAATAATGATTTATTTTAACATATGTCTATTAGCACAACTTTTATTTAAAAAGATTTTGATGGAAAAATAGTAGATGTAACTAATCACTCCTCTCGATTCGAACCGAAATACAATGTCATTAGCTAAAATTTAGTGGCATTTTACATGTAGGTGTGATATTTATCGCCTTTAATGAAAATATTATTTTACCGCTTTCATGGCATATATAAGTCTTACAAAAAATCGTGGACACTTCACGACTTCTGTAAATTGCATAGTAGGTAACTAGTAATACTGTAAATGCGCATTATAGGTATTGAATTCACCGAAAGCCTAAATGGCACAGCAATGGAAGTAGTCGGTATAACAAATAAACCGAAAGAGAAGGGCGAGTGTTATGGAACATATTACTATCATGAAATTGAGTTTGGGTACCAAGACACCAACCATTAAATTGGTGTTGGGTACTAAGATACCATCATTAAATTGAGTTTGGGTATTAAGATACCATCATTAAATTGAGTTAGGGTACTAAGATACCACCATTAAATTGGAGTTTGGGTACTAAGGTACTACCATTAAATTGGAGTTTGGGTATTAAGATACCACCATTAAATTGGAGTTTGGGTACTAAGGTACTACCATTAAATTGGAGTTTGGGTACTAAGGTAAGTACCACCATTAAATTGGACTTTGGGTACTAAGTTACTACCATTAAATTGGACTTTGGGTGCTAAGTACTACCATTAAATTGGACTTTGGGTACTAAGTTACTACCATAAAATTGGACTTTGGGTATTAAAATACCAGCATTAAATTGGAAATAAATATATGAGAAACTGTTTCAGTTTGCCCCTAAAATAATAATAATAATATTGATACCGTTATTAACTTTAATGTGATAGCACATCTATGGCTATAAGGTGTGAAAAATGGAAAAGGTCTTGTGCACGACGCAAACAAAGTAATACGTCGAACGAAATAACTTACTGATTGCTTGTCGTAACCATCGCTAGTTGAACAACATAGGGGCGGTGGGCGGAGCCATGAGGATGTTACGATCGTCGGGCCGCGCTCACGGTTCCACAACTAGCGGTGGTTGCACACAGCAACGCGGGAAAAGCCGTAGCAATAATATTGAAAAATATAGCTTTTATTTTTAATAAATAGTATTGTAACTATGTAATAACTCTCGCAATAAAGGCACCGAACAAATGGCGAGAGTTAACATAGATTTAGAATATAGAAATGAATTAATGCAAAATTGTAAAGTAAGTATTGTATGTAAATTGTATTCCTTTATATAGTGCAATTTAATTTCTTATATATTAAGCCCTTAGGCAGGAAAAAAGACGCGGCCGCGGAGCGAATGAGGCTACGCGCGCCGCGCCACGACGTTATATATTTATAGTACTGAGGCGGGGGGCAGGGTCCTCAGCTCAAAGTTGCTGGAAAAACAACGTTTAAACCTTTAGTATATAGAAAAATTGTTATGTACGTATTAGTTTAATAAGTAGTTGTAAGAATGTTATATATTTAAGTCTGTTCGTTAGTTTGTAAGAAATCTAACCAATAAAGAAAGGCGCGGGGGTGAGGCAAGGGTCCGCTGGCCAGCAACGGCCAAATCGTATATAAGACGGGCCGGCCGGAACGGTCGGCAGTCGCTCTCCAGCCACAGAAAAGAAAACAGCAGCAAGAAAAGAAAAACTTCCTCCTCACCGCCGCTTGCCTCCAGTTTAAGCAAGACCAACGCGTTTCATTCATTTTTTGAACGGCGTTACGGCGATCCGTAACATTAATAGTCCTTCGAGCCGGATTACTAGAAGAAAAAGACAATATCGGTCTTGGTATTGCCGGAAGAAAGAAGCAAACCGCAAGAACGAAAAAATATTATTGTGAAGAAAAATGGTGATTAGGCGTAGTAACAACGGAGAATCATCGAAGCGTCGCAAGGATGAACAGATAACCCAGGGGGCTACAGAAGAGGCCTCTGGGGGCGATTCAACCGCTACTGGTACATCCAACACCACGAGCGAAACCACAACGGTCAGCGATACAACCGCTTGCTCTGCGACCGATAACACGGCCGCAACGGAAGAAACCCAGCAAGAGAAGGATCGAAGATCGCAGCGCACGTTAAAGCTCGACGAAGCTAGGTCGCGCCGCTCCGTAGCCTCACGCAAGAGACTCCTCGCGGAGTTAGAGGCGAAAGAGCGGTTAGCCGAACTCAAGCTCAAGCAGGCTCAGATGCAAGCAAGAACGGAATTGCAAGAAATACACGTGCAGCGATTACAAGCAGAAGTCGGATCAACCGATGATGAAGATGAAGAAATAGAAGACGATTTAGCATCAGTGCGCATTAGTACATGGTTGCAAGAAAAACCTACATCGCAACCAGCGCCGCAGCCCGCGCCGCAAACCACGTCGCACTTCGCATCGCAACCCGCTCCGCAGTCTACATCGCAAGAAAAACCTACATCGCAACCAGCGCCGCAGCCCGCGCCGCAACCCACGTCGCACTTCGCATCGCAACCCACGTCGCACTTCGCATCGCAACCCACGTCGCACTTCGCATCGCAACCCGCTCCGCAGTCTACATCGCAACCCGCGCCGCAGCCCACGCCGCAACCCACGTCGCACTTCGCATCGCAACCCACTCCGCAATTTGCATCACAACCCGCGCCGCAGAAAGAAGACAAAGGGCAGGCGCAGCAACAAATCGACGTCGCTACCTTAGCCGCTGCTCTATCACAATCAGTACGAAGCACAAGGGAGCCGCCGAAATATG